GGGGGTCGTGGCCGCCCCCCAGCCCCGGCGCGATCGGCTCGCTCCAGCGGGGCTCGCCGGGCGGGGCGCGGGCCTGCGCCGGGGCTCCTGGCCGGGCGCGCCGGCTCGCGCTCCTCCTCCTGTCCTCGGGCGAGCGCGGACTCTGCCGGGGCGCGGGGCTTGGTCCACCTGCTAAGTGGGGGTTTCGCTGGAGGCAACAAAGAAAGCAGCCGCTCCTTTCTTCTGGACCAAACCGTGGACGACCGGCGACCGGCCGCTCCTCGCCGCCTCCTCAGGAACGCAGCTCACTCGTCTCCCCTTGGAGTAGTAAACTTTTTTTTGTCCTTGAAGGCGTGGTGATGCTGGCTGCTCGCGTGCGGAGAGGAGAGGCTGGCTCCTGCTCTCCCCCTCCGGTCCTCTCGTTTCAAGTTTTGTTCTGTCCTAGGAAAACTTCTGGCGCTGGTGCATTTCTCTGAAGTTGCTATTGCCGGAGCTCGTGGTTGCCTCTGAAACAACAGTCCTTTTCCATTCTCCTCGCAACAGTCACAGTCTGATGCGACATCTTTCCTTTTGGGTAGAAATTAGGAGACAAATATAACAAGGAAAAAAATTGAAAAGGAGAAAAACGAGGTCGAGTTTCTCGGTTACCTTGCTGCTGACGGTTGGGGTTGGTGTTTTATTTTTTTCCCAGGAGAGGTCTGCAGGAGGAGGAAGAAGAGTGCACTGGTGGAGGTGGAGGTGTGTGTGTGCATATAGGGATCCTTGATACACAACCAACTCCAGTGGCACGACGCACGGCTCGGAGGCTGCCCCGACGGCGCTGGCGCTGGCCGTGCCGGAGCGGAGTTGCCGCGGGAGCTCGCTCTGCGCCCTGGTTCGCGCGCTCTCCCTCTCTCTTCCCCTCTCCCTCCCTCCCTCTCTCGCTCTCGCTCTCGCTCTCTCGCCCTCTCGCCCGCCCGCTCGGATCTGACAGTTCGCTCTCTGTCCCTCCCTCTCCGAGCGGGGACTGTCGAATGTTTACCCTCCGCCGCGAGCGCGCACCCACCACTGCACTTTCCCAAATACAAGGAAGTTGAGCACCAGGGCCCCCGCTGATTGGCTACCCGCTGGGTGATTGGCAGGTCCGGAATGACTGGCTCAGGACGCGCGGCCCCCCTTCCGGCCGTTCCGATTGGTTGCTTTTTAATTTAGGCAGAGCGT